TTTTTCATGAAAATTTTTATGCTGCAAACCATGTACAATGTAAAATACTAAGTTAAATTTTGAAGAAGTTTATCTGTTTTATTTGGGAGAACTAAAAACAAGACTCAATATATCTCCCGTTCATTCCCCGACGAATTGTTAAAATTTTCCCCGACGGGGGGGCTAGAGTTCCCCGACGAGGGGGCTGTAGCCCCCCTTGCCCCCCCTCTGGCGCCACCCCTGGTTTGAAGACGCTGCCACGCTGCTCCCCGGCGGTTATATTGAATATAATAATTCGATTTAATTACAAATTCTCGTTACATTACTTTGCTCTTTAAGTTCGGCGGGAAATTTACGAGTTTCTATACTGTTATAGAAACACGCTTCTCGACCAATCAGCACGCGCGTACTGTAAATGTTATATTATAAATCAATAAGTTGCTCTTTAATAATTTTGCCATGGAATTACGGCAGACGCGGGTGGTATTTCACCGTTTGCTGTATATTGGTCGATCTCGGCGCAGGCTGAATAAATTTTCAATATAAATTTCTCAATAATAATATGCAAGAACATTTGTTATTATAGTTCGGCGCAGGAGGTGCGAACAGTTTATTAACCAGTGTATTCATTATTGAAAGGGGACAAGTCGTTTTGCAAAAATACAATGCCAGTCCCCATTTTTTTGTGTGGTTCGACAGCCTCTGGACAAAATTAAACGCCAGGGATGGAGAATTAAGCCTAGAAGAAGACAGAGATTTCAGAAAAGACAAAGTTTTTCTTTTATTGTTTTTCCTTGTAATCACTATCGGCAAATAAGTTTCAAAATATATAATAAATATTAATAAAATTTTATATAACTGTAACAGTGTATCTTCAGGAGGTCTTAAAAATGGTTCAAGTGAAATCATTTGACAAAATGCGGAAAATAATTAATTTTTGTATATACTTGTATTCCGCGTGAAAATGTGTAACTAATATAGTCATATATTTCGACACGTAAATACAAAAGTATACAAAATATGCCAACTTTGCATTGCTACCGTACTCGTGCAATATACAACATTTGCCAGCAAAACTTGGCACTGAATTATACTAATTTTAGTACGCTCTACTGAAAATTCCTTTTATGGTTAAGAGAAAAAAAAGATAGAAATTGGATCATGCAATAGTGGAGGGGCTTCTTCAAAAGGATGGATTGTAGATGTCTCTGCTCGATTTGGTTTTTCCTCGAAATCAACCGTGGTTTAGATAATAAACACTCCCTTACAAAAGTCGTGCGATTGTGAAACTGAAATGAAAATGACATTTAAACCATTACCGAGTCTCAAAGATATTTGAAAACGTACTTCATGGTATGTTTGTTATCACAAAGGCCGTGCATGAAACGTTCACGTAATTTGGAGAATTTTTAAAGTATATTCTTACCCATAAAAGTAAAATTAAATGTACGTTTGCTTACCTCTGTTAGTCAGAAATTCCCCGTAGAAATTAAAGGATACCTTTTCAAATAAATGTCACTGTCTGCTAATGTCATACTAGAACTACAACGAATGCAATATATACCCCCAGCACGTAAGCCAAGCGGCAAGGATAATACAGGGCTCTACTTTGTCGGTATAGTTTAATTACAGTCGCAAAAATAATTGAAGCTCTCCGAAAAATATTGATCAATTCATTTCCTTATATTTTTTTGTCCATTTACGGAGCTCGTTAAATATTTCTGACAAATTAGAATCAATTAAAGTACATTTATAGGCCGTGCTTTAGAGCGCATGAATAATGACGCAACATTTCTTGCGGATGAAGGCGTTTGTCAAAGGGCGTTACATGAACGGGCATCTGGTGTTTTTTTGCTCTTACTCCACGAAGGATGAGTAAAAAGAAAACTGATACCTTTCACTCACAAATTTTCTGTCACTTGGCAGAACCCTAAGGTGATCTTTCGCTCGATTTTCTTTTCAATTGTGACCGGTGAAGGGCGAATTCTCACAATTGAAAAGAATGTCAGACGAAAAATGAGATATACTATTGCTTGAGTCAGGATTCAAGGCAGGACTCGAGCCAGGACTCGAGTCAAGGACTCGAGTCAATTAACCTTTCTCACGCAATGCGACCAATCCGCCATATTTAGATGACATATAGTTGATTTTATAATAAATCATTTTATGAAATAAAAATTGGGGGTAACATAACTCGTAACCAACAGGTAATTGCTGTCCAAAATATCGGATGCAAATCGTTAATTTTCATTTCTGACCATGGCATGGAGAATAAAAACACATTGTGTTTCTATTATCCATTGTTTTAACTTGCAAATTTTTACGATTTAATAGTGCATGCACCGTAATGGTAAAAGAATTAGCCTTTCTAAGGCTATGCGACCAATACAATGTTGCTGACTAACTAGAAGTTTTGCATAGTTCTGTTTCAGTTTAATTCATTTAGCGATTTAAAAATTGCGGACTCAAAAAATGGTATCATAAAAAATCACATTTAACGAATTCGGAAAAATTCTAGTCTACTTAAAACCTGCCGCACACGAGAGCAACTAGCCGAGCTAATAGTCACTCGTGGCTGTTGGCGTAAGCAAATTTTTCTCTTGTGCGGACAAATTTTAAGCGCTTTTGTTCATTCGTGGCACTTTATTCTGGAACGAATGAACAAAAGCCCTTAAAATTTGTCCGCACACGGGACACGCCAACAGGCACGCGGGAAAGACGGCAATAGAAGTTTCCATCAGTCATGAGTCATTTATTCGGAGCTTGTCGGCTCGAGTCCTTGGCTCGAGTCCTGACCTAGAGTCCTGACTCGAGTCCTGGCGCGAGTCCTGACTTGAGTCCTGACTTGAATCCTGCCTCGATATTTAGGTACCCTCACGAAAAATTTCGTTCGGTTGAAAAATTCCGCTATGCGGAAAACCGCCATAAAAAACTTGCTGATTAATTTAGAACATATACCCTTGCTTGATCGGGCATTGAAAGACAAGGTCAAGGGTATTTTCAAAACGTTTATGCTGGCAAACTTTCTGAGGCTTGCGATGTGAGGTACCATTTAAAAGTCAGTCAGTGCTAAGACCTGTTTACATAAAATATCTCACAATTTGTCGTAAGTAAAAAATTCACATGTGGTAGTTCGTTGTAATTCGTCGTATTCGAAATCTGACATATGAAAACCGAGTTACAACAAATTATAGCATGTGAATTACGACAAATTACGGTCGAATTAAGTCATTTGAAAACCAGCTTTATAGTTAACATGCTTTGTAAAGCGAATAATAGTTTATTCTTACCGTCATGATTATATCGCTCGCCCAAAGCAATAACAAAGCCCTAGGATTTCTCGTGTTGTTGTCTTGCTCATCTTCCATGTCAGATTTTTCGAACCAACATAATTATTTATCCTCTACAAATTGAGCAAGGTCGCTATACGAAGCAACCCTCCATCGCTGCGACAACTCTCGATCCCGTCAACCGCTGTTGTGATAAGCAGTGGCCGTTTGAGCGCAACTCTAATGAGTGTACCGGACTGGCAATTAAGCCATTATACTTGGTTTGGTAAGCAATAGCATCGATATTCAGGTATTTTGACCTCAAAAATGTGCCGCAGAGTAGCCTTGTTAATTTTGAACGAATCCCTGGTATAATAGATCAACCGAATGTCAATAATTGCCCTATAAACAGGCGATAACAATTCTCCAAAAACAATAGCAATGTTAAGCAATCGCTTGTTGTGTTTTCAATAGAATTAAAAGTCTCCCATGCCATACTGCACTAATTTATGCTAATATAAGCTATATTAGGTATTTCTGCGAGTTTCTGCCATATTAACAAGTTAAAATGCAAATTTTCGTATATTCACTTACTGCCAGCGAACTCTGTGTGTTAACTACCCCGATTTGAAGTTCATTTCGGGTGGTGAGTTCTGAGGTCATTAATCCCCGAGCGGGTGAGGGTACTAATTCCCTTCGGAGATTAGGAATTACACCTGAAACCCGAGAAAACATAGCGGAATCCGAAGTTGTCCAAATTCTATGTTATAGATGGTCGACGTTGGGTGGTTTTGTAAGTCATGCGCATGCGCAAGTAACTATTGGTAGTCAATAACGTTCTGATTGGCTAAGACAGAAAGTGTGTATTTCAACGAGAACGTCAGCAATTTAACTGTCATTTCGTAAACTCTTTTGTAAAAGCGTTTCATAAACTTTGTGCAAAATAAAACGGGAAGAAACAACATGAAGCATAGCAGATAACTAAGAAGAGCATGGATACAGTCAAGACAAAGCGATGTAAGAGAAATACTTTATAATCTGCAAGCTTATAAATGTTTTCAAAGGGGAAGTGTTTGCTTTGTTTATTTCGTATTTGCTTTGCGGAAAGGATAAGCTGTATTTAAATGTAAGATGTATTTGTATAATTTTCAGCTTTTCATGCAAAAGCATAAACCAACTGTGAAAGGCTATTACACCTTTGCTTTAACTTTAAAAAGTGTTTTAGAAAGTGTAATTTAAATCTTAATATCACAAATACACACTATATAAGTATAAAACTTTAAGTTCCAATAACAGAATAAAATAACATTTCAGTTTTTTTCTTTGTCTTTGAAGATTTTGTCTGTTTTAATCGCTTAATAAAGTGGGAGTCGCCTGGAGCCGGAAAAACACCAGAGAAAAACGGCTGAAAACTGGAAAAGGTTTTTCATTATCCTTATAAAACTGATCTCCTTTCTAAATTCCGGCAACCTAAAGCATTTGATTAGGGGTTTGGTGCACGTTAATGACAACCTTAGGAGTTCTATCACATTAACCTCGAAATATTTAACAATTATGCGAGGTGAAAGTCGCTGAACAGAAATCGAGACGAAATCGTCAGTTTTTTAAATTATGTTTTTATGTTTCAAACGGACTGTACTTTTACAAACAGCCAAAAAAACTAAGAAATAATGCGAGTAATTTAATACAACTTAAAGAATGGTCTTTTTATGCACTTAATGGCAAAATGACACATACATTACATTATCCTAATACTATTTCGATAATTTTTATATAATTTATCTTCAAAGCCCATCTTCAAATGACGCTTATGTTTTTCAGGATCTTGCTATAATACGGCTATGTGTATTTCCCTGATCAACAAGACTAACAGGTTTTCCAAATATAAATAATCGTACTAAAACAAGCTATACTAGCTAGTGAATATATACCTTACTAATACCAGTCTTTATCATCCTGAAATTCAAAATGCCCCAATGATCCAACTTTGTACTCTTTATACTTCTGCAGTTTTTCTTCTAGCACCTTGTCACCCTCCTTATCCACACTGAAGCCTTCATTGATCCCTGTTTTTATGTCTTTATATAATGCGTCTTCTGTAGTTGCTACAATATTAGAACAGAGTTTAAATAAAGTCGATGATTTCCTTTTTCTTTTAGCGATCAGAGAATTTAAAAGTTCAAATATTACAGTAAAGAACTACAAGGTTCACGGGTGGATCCAGCACTAGTGCACTAATTTGCATCACAAAACGAGGTGGTTATTTTTAGCAGTTTTCTTGTGTCATGCAAATTACTGCACTAGTGCTGGATCCACCTCTGACAAGGTTGCTTTCATTTAAGGGCTGCTTTCAATCGCCAAAAACATGTGCACGAATCGAATTATTCTCGCTGCAGTATTTACAACAGTGATACAATAAAGATGAAAAAATGACTAAATTTTTCCACCTGAAAAGTAGATTAAAATTTGAAAGCTGAAAGTCATGGGAAATAAGAATATAAAAAGAAGGAATCAAGAGGAATTTAACGGGGAAAGGTAAGCTAAATCTTGTATACAACTGAGCATTAATTAAATACCTGGATTAAAATCTTCTGTTTGTATACACTTATGTTTGACATCTTTCGGCTTAACATAAGCTTCATAAACATCTTCTGTGGTTGTGGTGGTCTTCATACTTATATTTAACGTTTCCATAGTTCGAACACGTTCTTGAGGCTCAGGTGGCGTTGTATAAAACTCCTGCACCTATGAACATTCGCCAATTTAAAGTTAATTTATTAACGGTGTGCTTCAATACCTTGTTAAAGTATGACACATGACTTTTCTCAATGGTTATCAACACTGTAAATTCAACTTTTTCACTAATTAGAACACAAAAAACACAACAGAGAAGAAAAAAATTTACCTTCGGCAAAAACACCATCGTCAGAGTGACTGTTGTGGAAAGCAAAACGACGACAGATACCAGTACGTGAAGTAATTCATAATAAGCTGTCCTCTTCAAAACCATGGACACTGTTGCACCGATAGCTGACAATATGACAACATTGTAAACTGACATTCCGATGTACTTGGAGTCGTTTAGTGCAGGAATCGTTACATTGCGCGTCTCCCACGCGAGAAACACGCCAAACAGCAACAAGATTCCTTTGTATCCATACAAAGCGCCAAGCAGTTTAGTTTTGTGGGTGCAATCACAGATTTTCAAAACCGGGATTGTGATCAAATCGTTTGACTGTTCCATCTGAAATTAAAAACGTGGAGAATATATTATATGCCATGCCAGAAAGAAGATCCTTATACGAGACTGATTCAAATAAATTGGGTACCTATCATCAATATGATTACATAAAAATGGTAAAAGTATTCAATACTTTGAAAACATTCTGGCCTCAGGTTTACTTAAGCTGTTCGTCTTTGTTCGCGATCATCTGGTCGTGACTGAGCAAGCTAAATCCAAGATATCATTTTATAACGGTGCTAGTTTAGTGAATTAGCTACTTACCCTTTCAGTAAAATTATTCGAAATCAATTCACTTTATACCGTATAAAACTAGCTATTATTTGTGTGCAATTATATTTTTACTAGAACTTTAAAAAACGCAGCAATACAGGTGTAGGGTATCCTTCAAACTATAAGTAGAATCAATTATTATAGAAGTTGACGACATAATATAATATCTTAATCTTACATCAAAAATGATGTCCTCAGATTTCAATGGATCGAAAATAATCCAAAGTGTTACGAATACAACATCAACCAGAACAAGAACCAGAACAAACAAAATGAGATGAAAATCTTGCATCATCTAAGGCAAAATGTATATTAAATGTTTTAAAAATTATGGCATTGTACAAAATCATATCTTTAATTCAAAACACAGACTAGATAGCTAGTGTAATGTACAATATAACGGGCAGCGAAATTTGATATTCTGGTCAAAATCAACTAAAATGACAAAAAGCGAATTAAGAACGCAAGTGAAAAGTGTTATGGGGCCGCTGTAATTGGTGAAAACTGTAGCGTGCACCCTGCCAATTTTCCATATTATATATTGTTGTAAATATACTGGTAAATGTTGCATATTACTTGGCAAAGTTAATAAATAAATAAATAAATAAATAAATAAATAAATTGTAATATTCGATTCCCCCAATAAAATATTTTGAGTTTAGTTAAGTTCTGCCAACGTAACTACTGTTCCTACCTTTCTCTTAATCGCCCGTTGAGCGGTAAATATTTTGTGCACGCGCCATGTTTTACTGAACAAAGCCCCAAACGCCATGGAAAACGCGATTGCCAAAACATAGAGACGCACCTAGAAATTGTTATGAATATATAAATAAACACCGTTGTCTGTTTCATCATGGTTGCCGTAGGCAGATAATAAGAATCACTTGGCTACAAATTAGACACCAATTATATAGATATCTACAAAATTGTGACAAGCAAAAAAGTATATTACACTATATCTTTATCTCACATACGTTGCATAAAATTCCCAGAACATGTTCATCGACAAATCTCGAATCAATTCCCAACAAGAAAACAAAAACATAGCAAAAGAAGCAGCCAAGAAGAACGACATTGTTGATCATCGGAGATGACATTCGAATCACCCTATGGGAAAAAAATCATATATAAAAATCACGTGGTGATCCCATGGAGGAAATGAAATTATTTTTGGCGAATCTAAATTAATTAATATCCTCCTAGTAAATGTGCATAGTGTCATAGATAAAAGATGGACAGATGACCATCTTAATGGTAAAAATGTCCCACGGCAGCCATCATGCTGGAAAGTGTTTATTGCGTGATATTCAACAGTTATTCTGCTCATGCACTCTCGTCGTATATGGCCGATAGCCAACTCGGCGCACTGTTGTATTATATACACAAACTTTGTCGCCCTTTCGATCGGTGCATTTTGGTGTGCTATTATCAACTAAAACTTGGATTTCTATTTCACTCAACTCCCCAAATCTTTCGGTCATTTTGTTTACTTTCTCTTCTGGACAGATATGAGCTAATATCTGTCTAGTAGCCAACCAATGAAATTGCAGCATATCTCATATCTGGCGCTTGTGTATATAATAATACGTGATATTCGTCATTTGTCATTACGTCATTGTTTTCATGCTCTCTGCTATGTGACCTATTTCACTTTTTTTGGCAATTGCGGATATAAAAATTTATTTAGAAAAAATTTATTCATTTATATATGAATTATAAGCCAACAAATTACTACTAAAGTCGCAGAAATAGTAATAAATTCACAGGCGGCCATGTTTCAGGCAAGTGACGTGGCGTGTGCATGACTTGTACATTTGGGGAAAATTTAAGGACACAAAAATAAAAATATTCTCTAGTTACACTTCTTCTACTTATTCCTTGATAGTATGATGCAACTATTATTTCAAAGCCATGCCATCGGCCGTTTAAGTTGAACGGGCTTCGTTACGAAAAAGATAGAAAAGATTGCTCCCTTAATTTTAAGTCTCGAGGATCAATGAACTCACTTGTGATTTCTTTTCTCGATATTAAAATAGAGTAATCCCAACGAATAAATCAAGCCAAGAACCGCAAAAACACCGATTAAGATCAACTGTGCCAGGGAATATATCAAAACCTTGCGTTCTTTTCTTGTTTCATCAACTGGAACTTTGCCGTCTAAAGGTGTACGATTCATGACACAAATCCATTGGTGGCAAAAAGAAGGGGGCTGGGGATTATATAGTTTTCCTGTCGGGGGCCTCTAAATCTCCCAATTAGGGAGAATCAATAGAATTGTTGGGAGAAATTGGAAGTGAAACTGAATTAAAGGAGAATTGCTTCGATCATGCCAGCCTACCCTTCCACATTTTTCTCACTTCATTCTCATTCATGCTTAATTCATTGGTATAAGAATCGTGACTTCCAACTTGTTCAAGATAAGCTGGAAAGAAGTAAGAATTGGTCATATATAAAGTTTACTACCACCAGATTAAGTTTACTACCGGCACTTACCAATATCATTCTCAGTCAATCTCATTTGTCTGATCACAACAGTTCCAATTCTTTCACGCTTATAAAATTTATGAGGACCCTAAAATTAAAAAATCCTGGTTGATTAAAATGAAATCCAACAACATTCCTAAATAAAAGATGCATGAATTAGGACATAATTAAATTGACAGACAAACCTCCCTGGAATATGCCTTGAATATGATAAATTATAGTTCTTCAAAAGCTATTTTAACAGTGACGATTCCTGGCAATTTGCTAAATCAACTCTCTGTTTGCGATAGCGAGGTTTATAATATGACTTCGATTCACACCAGTTTTTGCCTTTTTTACTTGATGTAAATAGAAAACATGAAGTATAATAAACTTACTGAGAGGCCTTCAAATTCTTGTTTCTGCAACAAATCTTTATATTCGTAAAAGAATTTGTCGTCTCCTAACACGAGATCTTCCGGACGAGTCGTGTTTGATGTCTCGTTTAACATCAGTGCTGCAGCCCAGATACTGTCGAACGCATAACTGGTGTACGGTTGCGCTTTTTTGTTTCTTCTTTGCACTTCAGCCAAATATTCTCTGGAAGTCTAAATGTTGAAAAAATTCCCCACAATTATTTTGTTCCCGTATGTACAATCATGGTAGAGAGACGGCTAGAACATGGGATAACAAGATCCATCGTCTTTTCGCAAGTAAGTACAATTATCTTAAAATACGTAAAGTCTCATAATTTTTGCACATGATTGTAAGCGCTGCTTGGACCACGAAATTGATCGATCAACAAATTCGTACTCAGAAGGCCAACGCCTACGAGTTTTGCATAATGCCAATGGCGTAAGCAAACAAGTGAGAATAATAATAAACTAATGTTAAATCTCTATCTGCATTATCGCAGTTAAGACTACTGTCAACTCAAAGATAATATGAAGAAAGGACAAGTAGGTTTTACGCAAGCAATCGAACCTAGCCTCGCGATTTCGACCCTCCTATAATCAACTATCTACAAATTGCGAATAAATATTGATCAAGTATTGTAAACACTGTTGTTACAAGTCGTACAAATCCTGCCATATTAATTTTTGTGACACGACATCCGCGCCCACAATAAAATTTTAATAATCTGAAGACTTTATGATTGACAGTTTGAAGTGAATATCAAATTACTCACCAGTCCAGAAACTGTGACGTTGTCATCTTGTCTAATATCGACTTGGGAAATAGTAATAAAGCCTTCTGCAGCTTTGGCTACCTGGCTGATATTACAATCAATATTCATATGATGCTTTGAAAATGTGTCGACGTCGTTGGTGAATATCCATGCTCCCGTTGAGGTAGCAGCCAAAATCCATACATATTTTGGACCGTACATTCCAAGTTTGTAAGCCTTGGGAATAAAGAGACAGCTATTTATCATTTCATTTGCATTTATTTGCTTTTCCAACAACATAACACAAGTACAGAAATTTTAAAGAAACTACTTTAATGAAAGACGTGTATTGAATCAATCCGACTGAAGCATATATATATATATATATATATATATATATATATATATATATATATATATATATAAAAAAGGTTGCTTGTCCACCAGAGATATTATTCGAACATAACCACTGCTTTGTATTTTTTAATACCACTTTATTCACAAACTTTTTCGCTCTTTTAGCTTTTCAGGTGATAAAAGATGGTATACATATATCAATATTCCAATATGAAACAAGAGAGATGGCGAATCAAATTAATGCACAAACCTCACAGAAAACCTCAGCAGCACGATCAATTGAAAATTCTCCGATTATAATCCGAGCATCAAGTTTCTGAAATTTATAGAAAAAAGGATGGGGGAAATGAAAACGAAACCTCTAAAATAAAAGAAATTGCATTGATAATATTCCTAAATGAAATTTCGCATGTTGAATTGATAACTCGAGCATCATTTTGTAGAAACATCAGGTTGTTATATGAGGAGCTTCCGAACCTTTAAACCGGGCCTTCGTAAGTAAAATTTATCTTTAAAAATATCGTAACCACACTAATAACTTCTTATACCTTGAGAGGATATAGTATGGAAAAAGTAAATATTTTTTAAATTTTACCTGTAACCTCTGAAGTTCCTTTTTCGGATGATCTGCTAAGCCTTTTTGATATCCTTGGAGTGTGATTATTGAAACGTTCGCTGAAAACGACTCAATTACGCTTTGAAAGTTTTCAACAGCCTGCAGAAAGTTAGGAAAAGTCGGTTGAATTACTGAATGCTAAATCAGGGAAGGCATCTGGGGTAATAGCACAAGAGCGCAAGATTGCAGGGAGCCTAGACTGAAAAGGAGGGCATATAGTGGTACGGTAGAGAAAGCTGTTATGTTAGGCTATTCAAGGTTGTATAAAGCAGAGTATGAAAGAGCAATAGGAGAACAGAGTGTTGCAACGTGCGTGAAGAATTGGTGATAATAGCAACACCAACGTAGTTAAGAAAGAGAGACAAGAACTATTAATGAAGAACATAAAGAACAAAGAGCACGATGAAAAAACCGTTAAAAGAAAAAAGAAAGTTAACCTAATGTTTATATCTATTTCATCACTTCCCATACCGAAGAGTACAGTTTATCATCATATTCCTGTAATATCGCAACTCTCTTCCATCCGAAATACTTCAGAACAGCTAGACGAGCATAGTTGAAAAATGACGTCGATGGAACATTAGTGAACAAGGTGTGGTAATACTCATCATTATGTAGCTCGACACTTGTAGCTCCGTAAGATATCTGTGAAAACAGATTCCGTAATCCGGTTAGACCACCCTTCGGGCGTTTTATTTTCAAATAAATAATACATATGTCAAACATGCTTCGGATTTTGAGTTCTTAATTAGGATTATTGTAATTTTATGGTAAGCGCACCAAGAGAGAATTTCGTTTTAGACCAATCAACGAGTTTGTTTACATTTTCAGTAACCCAATCAGATTGCAGAAATTTTGACTTCCGGTAGAAAGGCACATTATTTACCCTTTTTACATTATCAAATAATTAGGCATTCTGATTGGTTTTGCCTGGAAAATGTAAACAAATAATTCTATGTCGATTAGTTTAAAACGAAATTCTACCTTGTTGGTAAGGGCTAATTAGGAATTAGGGACCAGTCATTATTATGTCAGGGGTGGGGGCTAACCATTTTTCCCACCCAACCATTTTCGTTCGGGAAAAAAACTTTTGTAGACACTTTGACAAATGATGACATAGATCGTAACATTTAATTTTAGATTGATATTTTTATGATTAAAAGATTTGTGTTGATAAATTTCTTTACCTTATCTTTTTCTTTCTCATTTTTATTTTACCCCACCTTTCTCTTTTTTTTTAATTTTCCTGCACCTCAGGGGTGCCTAATTTTTAGTTAACCCACCTTTTACTCGTCACCCCCCAACCCTGCCATAAACAATTACCGGTTCCTTTGGAATCTATGGAACTCTGCCTTTATATCAACAATTACCTGCAAAACGTTCCAGCTTGCGCTTGCGATAGCAGCTGGCCCAGCGTTCTTCGACCACGCTGGTCCGATCATAACCTGGATCGACTCATTCTTCGGCCATTGCAAAAAACCAAACACTCCTAATACAGTGTATATTGGGGAGCTCTAGAAAGTAAATGTACGTGAATTATTGCATGGTATAAATGTGATGCTCTAAGGTGTGGTAATTGCCGGTAATCTAGAATTAAGCTCTACGAATTTTTTCCCGAATTTTCAGAAATGGAATTGTCACAAGAAGAAATTTCGTTTTAGACCAATCAGAAGGCATGAATTCTGACTATTTCCGGTGATGAGGTACATTATTTGCCACTTACATGAAGCTTAAAAAATTGGTTTTGACTGGAAAATGTTAACAAATTTGCCGATTAGTTTGAAACGAAATTCCTCCTTCTTGCTGTCGTTGTAAATACGGTAGATGCTAAACGTACAGTATGTTGATGTATTAACAGGGTGAAATTTTGTTTTAAACTAAGCACATATTTGTTGACATTTTTCATGTAAAGCTAATGAAAATGTAAACAAACTCACTAATTGGTCTAAAACAAAATTCCGCCGTATTAACTATTTAACTTACGAATGTATTCGTGTATTTCACAACGATTTCATAATCCTTTAGAATATCACTTCGATTGTTTATAATCTCTGTCGCATGCTCCATTGCCGTTTTAAAGCCTTGCGCATCATCACCGTACGAATACACCAAAGCTCCGATGAAAATCTTTTTCTTTGATAACGAGATTGTTGCTTTCGAAAAGCAAAACAAAATCGCCCACATCAACGCACGACGCATTACTAGTGCCAGGAGAAAATCATATTATGAATGTTAGCAAGAAGAGATATGAAAGATCTGGTTTGCGCATCTCCGCTAGCTGATCTGGGTATAAAAATCAACCAATCAGAAGCCAGATCTTTGACAAAACTGAATTATCATTTCCTTCATTGCATATGACTTTGACACTCGAAACATCAAGTAATTTTATTATATTTATGCGAAAACACGCTAATTTTTTCTCAACTGTAAATTAGAATTTAAATTGTTCGCCCTTTATACTATTAGTTAGAAGAATAAGGACAAATAACACCAGGCACATGATAACTCAGTTTTGTCGAGACGCCTTATGACGTCATGATCTCAGATCAGCTGGCGAGTCTGTTGGGGTCAAGAAACATTTTTAGTTTTTGATATATGGTCGCCGGTAAACTAAGTATATGCATGGGTACAGTCGCGCTATGTTTATATACAAACGCCTTGATTACATATATTGAACAGCTATAATTTTCAAAATACCCTGTCCCATGATAGATATTTGAATGATATGATACGATAAAAATTGGAATATTTTACACTATTTTAATTCGTTATATTTAAAAATGAATAAGAGATAGAGATTAAATTTATTTCGACAAATTAAGCTTTGCGTTATTCCTAAATCTTTGAATCATTCAATGTTATAGGCGTGCAAAATCGCTGCCCAGCTAGTAGCTGCTGCTGTAGTCTCTTTAACCATCTAAGAACTTTGTAATTAAATATGAAAAAAAATAAACCTAACGGCAGAATTCCGGAATTAAAATCACTTTGAAACACACAAGTCGACTGTTATATTTCTATTTGCATCATGGGCCGGTTGTATCAAGCCCGTTTAGCTTATTAAATGGTAGTTAAGTTCAATGTAGAAATCAAATCTTTCCTCAAGTAAACTAAAGATTTTAAACCTTAATGCAATGATACTGTTTACAACTACATATTCAGAGCATAAGATTGAATTTAACTCATTCACTGGAACATACGCAACACACACTGCTTAAAATAATAATCAAAGGTGAGGGTCTAAAAGAATTTAGGATGGTCATGTTTTGAAGATATCCCTGATGTTTTAAGAGAATTTAAAAAAATATGAAAACAAATCGCCGAATAACACCCAAGAGAATTAATTTACATATAATATTATAGTGAAGATGGAATTCTATTTTAACTGTCTATCGTTAACATGAGAATCCCTTTCACCTGTTCTATCTGTTCACCGCACACATATAATTATATTATACTAAAAGGGAATCTCGGGAATAAATGGGGTTGCAGACGCGATCTCTTTTTTGGTTTCGAGTTTCTAATTTGTTCGGGTGAGTCGTAGTATAACTGCAGTGTTGCCAATTTTAGAATAAAAAGCGCCGCTGAAGCATATTGTAGCAATATAATAATACCTCATAGCAAGATTTTTTAATCAAACACGGCTCGACGAAATTGCAATCTCAGCTTTAATTTAACGCTTGTTTGCATATCTTGTTAGATTGAATAAACCAATCTACGTTTCGTAAAAGAAAATATTTCATTTTTATTTATCGGCTCCAATTATTAATGAGAACTGCCTTGCTCGCGTGATTTATTTATTAGATCTTAGATTTATAGCTTAATATTCAGTCCGAAAGTTCCTTCAAAAAAAATGAAAAAAAAAGACAAATGGGTGAAAAATAGCTTTTAATTGTGTTGAACTCGAAAATTTTGTTAAGTTTAGGAACATGTGATTTGCAACATTAAAGCCTGCCGCACACGAGAGCTATCAACTGAGCTCATTAACGACGCCGCGAGGCAATTAGCTCAGCCTGAAAACCATCCACACACGTGAGAAACTTGCCTCTCGAGGCGAATTCCTCACGAAAAACTATCCGCACACGAGAGTAACTTGCTGAGCTAACAGCCACGCGTGGTCTTTTACTCAGCTAATAATAGCTCACGTGTTGGTCGGGCTTTTGAAAGTTTAAGATTTAATTGTGACACAGCTAGCACGCCATCTTGCTATAAACGAAGAAATATCTGGCGCAGGGCAACAGTTACAAACTTGTACTCCCAAAAATTTCTTCCATTTTTTTGCCATTCTTATATATATGATACTTTCGGATATTTTCACGGCTTTCCGATATGAAAACAGCTGTAATTAACGTGAGAGTTGTTTGGTTATTATAACGTAATGGGCAAAATAGCGGAGAGAGCACCTGTTTAATTTCAATAGTGCCAAAACGACCCGACAGGAAATATTTAATCCAAGAGCGACTCTTTCGGTCTTTTTAGCAATATTATCAACTAGACACCGGAATATCTTAGCAAAAGAGAAATGCTGTATTTCTGCAGGACAAACAGGGGCTAGAAATTTTACATTGTTTGAAATATAAGTATAGATAGTTATGAAAGATGAATGCTCATTTATATAAATGCTCTCAATTAAATATCGGACGAAAATCGCACGTAAAATCACCGCAGAATTCGCCTGACTATGTGGCTTCAAAGCAGTTAAATTTCCATTGCTTTTTTGAATAGGATAAATTGTGTTAGTGGCGTCGAGCTCACCGCTTATAGTGAATCGTAAATTTCCACTGTAAATATGTAGCTAAGATGACGTCTAAGAGTCCCATGGGACTTTAAATATTTAAATTACCAATGATTACCTGCCGTCTTTGTCGAAGTCGCCCTGGTATATCGTAATATTTTTTTATTTCCTTATCCACTTGTTGAGCTGCGATGTTCGCTGTTTCTGTGTCAGCCCAGTTATTTTTAACACTCTTTTTTATGTAAATATAATATAATTCTTGTTGCCGTCATTACGTTTTTAACAAATTCAATAAAGTAAAGTAATTGGAATTCAGTCAATAAAGGAAAACAAAATGAAGTTTTTACGTCTTTGAGCTGTAAGGTATGGACTCGCAACTTTCAAAACAATATGATCATGAAGTGTGCGATGAAAATGTTATAGTTTAGCTATTTTCATGCAGCTGTCTAGTCACATCGGATAATATTGGTGACTTATTATTCCCGTTGAAACATTATCAAGCATCATTATCATCACTTTTAATTTGGGTTGGGTTTTCCGGCGATCCTAACCGAAGGGACCGATTCCAGACAGCTTGCCATGCACATGAGTACTTGTCTGAGTTATGGTCTGAGCTAAAGGGCAGGCGTATCGATTTCTCAGTTGTCAAAGGGTTTTGCTTGGAAATTAGACGCGCGTCACCGTGAGAAAAAAGTCTTCTTTATTTCTTTTCGCGCAAGCTTTGCGCAAATATGTATTCTGGAGCCAAAAAATACGTTTCTCAGCTCGCGCAATTAAATAATTCCCTAAATACTTATAGTTATTTGCTTTCAATAAGATATTATAACCAAAGCAAAATTTCTCAACCAGATTAAACACATAAAAGTGGGCCTTTTGCTGTGTAATAGGTACGATGCTGTTTTCAGCTAATTGTAGGTCGGGTTGTACGTAAAGAGTAGGGATATACATACATTAACCGCAGTGATTATAGAGGCAAAAAATGACTTAAAAGTTAGAACTACGAGAAAAGTATTCTCCGACCCTTTTTTAGTAGTATGGCACGATCAAGCAACATTGGGATCAAATACATGTAACGAGATATGAACATGTATGCACTGCAATAAATAACCTCTGTGTGCATGGGATTATTTGGCGTAGACAAGAATCGGAAACGGAAAAAAAATGAGAATTTTATGTTATGATCGTCCGGCTGATGTACAAAGTCAATTATGCATATATTCCAACATGTAAGAAATTCCCAAAAGGTCACACACATAATGTATCTTTGACTTTCGAGTAAGTTGAAAACTACGTGTTGAATGTAAAAAGATAGAACAAAATTACTTCGGCGGAACTTCAAATATCGGATTGTTATTATGTGTTTATGATTGTTGAAAAGCTTCTATACCTAAATGTTTGTACGACAAAAAAATGAAATGCTCACTGCGATCTTCATGTCTATATATCTACTTCATATAACAACTGTTTAAATTTTAAAATACACATCACCTTATCTCGTGTCCTATATCCACTTACGCGTATCGTCTTGAACTCCTAATCGCAATGCTGAAACAGATATTTTTGTTTCAGGTACAGCTGGCTGAGTGATACTGAGATCGCTAAACGCAAAGAAGAATAGCGTGAATTTTCTTCATTAAATATTTTTGTCGGTGTTTATTTAGTGCAACAGAAGATCGTTTATTGCATTCTTCGCTTGCTAACTATAATTATCAAACAGCTGTCAGTCACAATTGACGCTGAATAATCATTGTCGCAATGACAAGGGCAAACAAGATGCCGTAAAATGACACCGCAGAAATCGGTAAGACTTATCATTACTTGGTAGGGAAAAAGATTTATAGATACTCAACAAAATATATCTTGCATATAGATCAATATACGTCAAGCTTGCAATATACGTCAAGCTTGCAATCCAATATACGTCAAGCTTGCAGACGGCAAAAAAAATCGCTAAATACTTTAAGCCTGCAGAGAATTGCCATTTCACAGCTGCCAGATGCGTATGATGAGCTGTCAAAAGATTGCAGAATGCGGTGTTCTGTAGTATTGACTGTCTTCCGCATCAAAATAAGAAAGCATACAGAATTTTTTCTATTCAATATTAACTACTCCAATATTTTTAATGTATGTATTTCTTAACATCGCGATTCAAGTTACCGCATTTTTGTTCTTCCATGCTGAGCATTGATTGACAGTGCATCATCTGAGAATCCAGAATCCATCAGCGTACATTCATCAACTTTCATACTATTCCAATATTAACTACACCAATATTTTTAATGTATGTATTTTTTAACATCGCGATTCAAGTTACCGCATTTTTGTGCTTCCATGCTGAGCATTGATTGACAGTGCATCATCTGAGAAGCACACTTTTCCCAGCAGACAAAGCGTGCTCATAACTGAACGAATATAGTCATAATTAAGTCTTCACGATTGATATATTAACCAAATTTTGGTGCATATTTCCTGCAGCAAGCATGTAGTTCATGCATATTGTTCGGTGCTCAGTTGCCGGTTCAACTAGGAGGAATATTTCGAAAAAGAAATCCGAGCGTTCGATCGAAAAATTCCGCCCAGTGGAAAACCGCCTTAAATCCGATGACAAAATGTTGCAAGCTTTAATTTTATTTTTAATAATTTGCTTAATTAATAAATCCCATTAGAGAATAGTGGGGTTAATTGAAATTGATAAAATTTAATTTCTTGGGCTTAAGGCCGCAGCATTCATTTACCTAATTCTTACTATAGAGTAGAGCACTTAGACCCGTTTTCCAGTGGGCAAATTTATTCGAGCGACGCAAAGCCTTGCAAAGGCAAAATTGCGGAATAGATTGATTAGTGAAAAAAATCATTTCAAAAAGTGGGACTGTGTGCACGATAAAGATTAAATAAAATTAAACATCAATGTCTGAAAGTGCTGATGTATTTTACCGTAAACAAGACCCTGGGTACGAGGTTGATAGATTAGTTGCTACGCATCCTGATTGGCTTAGCTACTCAGGCTAAGCTAGACAGTAATGAAACCAGCCAGTAAAATAGTTTGTAAAATAGCCAGAGTTTGTGATCAGAATTTAAGTAATAAAAGTTCGGAAACTGCTTGCTTGGTTTGAAAATAATTCATCCAACGATCATGGCTTTGTAAAGAAACTATAGAAAGGCATTCCAACCCAACCTCGTTCCTTGATTTTGGGTTGGGGTAATAGGCCCTGGGGTCGGCCAGCCTCTTCTGACTTCTGATTGGTTAAATATTTTTCCTAGTTTATGTGTAATTAGCGGAATATTTTGTAATTATTCGGAAAAAGTACAATTCCAATATGCTTCAATGCGACAATATTATCCGTTCTACGTGACATCACCATTTTGAAAATATTAGGCAAAATTTTATGATAATTCATGCTTATTAAAAATACTTACGAAATGTGGGTATTTTGAACGGCCGATCCCAAGGTCTTTCCTCTTCTCCCTCTCGCCTCCAGACCCAACACCCCCTATAAAGTCCAAAACGGCTCTGGGGACAAGATTGGTTCCAATCCATTTCTCTTCAGTACCAACCCTCGGAATAAACAATGAACACTTCCTTTTAAGAATAACATCACATTCCCCGTTAATAGTTTTGTAATTTAAAATGAGAAAACTGAAATAGTGTTATTTTAAAATTCAATCTTTAGCCTTGGCTCCATAAATTATTATGTCTAATCTTCTTCAATTTTTAAGTTATAAACGACAAAGCTGAATATACAGTAGCTTTATAGATTTAAAATCAATTCTATCAACAATAATTATTTGTTTAAAGAACTTTTTAAATATATCAGACACGAATGATTACTTCTTTTTACATTGCATGTATACAATCTACCTAAAAAATAGTATCCTTTGGTTTTATTTTACGTAGCCTACCATAATTATAAGGAAGACGATTATCTTTGGAATCGTTCATTTTAGAGAAAGGGAGATTTAGGGAGATTTAAGGAAAGGGAGATTTCAAGTTTTAAGGTCTTGTGGACGTTTGAATTATTGTTTTTGCGTAGTGGTTTCATTTTTTCCAGCTATAAGCAGGGGGAAGAGGCATATTCATATATTCGTGTTCATAATAACGATGGTTTTTACGCTCAATGAACATGCATATATAAATACGTCTCATACGACGTCTTATACTAAATAATGGACTGGATATTGTGGGAAAAGTTCCAAACAGCGTAGGATGTTTGGATGATAAGGATGTAGGATGTTAGGTGTTAAATGTTTATTGCCTATGCAGGCTATTATTAACTTAAATGTTTATAACATTTTAATACTATATATATAGGCTAAGTAATTAATTTAATTTTTGGCACATATTTTTGTATATAACTACGCCATATCTACTTGGAACAGATCAGATTAAACAGATTTAATTAACGATAATATTAATAGACAATAGTCTGCTTAGACATCTTTTTACAATGTATATAGACAATCTACCTGGAAGATATAGTAGAGAAAAAAAACATTCATCAGAACTTACTGTTAAGGTAACCGAAGATTGTTTGATTTTGCAATATTCTATATAACATTTTCATAGAAATAAAAACAATAACCACAATACCTCTAATGAACGCTGAATCCGTCTTGTTCCTTTGTGTTCATGTTTTCATGATCAAATTCCGCGTTCTGATTGGTCATTGAAGAGTCTGGGCTGTTATCACACAATCCCACACCCACACCAGAATCTATCAGTGTACATTCATCAACTTTCATATATTCTTCACCGAACACGGGTTCACTACTATTACTAACCATAGATGTCACCGTTTCACCATTGTTATCTCTATTGATCCCGTTCGCCATCACTGCAGCACCGTTTCCTCCACTAAACATCGGCGATGCAATTGACAGACCATTATTAGCTATGAGAAATACCGGACATGACTTAACAACTGCTCTCAAATAAATATTTCACTGAGATCGTGAAAAAATCCATATTATAATATCATACTCGAAAGTGTTGTATTTTTGGTATATAAAAGATGGTTATATGTACGTTAAGAACAATAAAAGACAATTTCTTGATTCTTATATTATATCATAACGGAAAAAAGTAAAATTTTATTGATTCGCTTGGAAAAAGTAGATAGAAAATTTTCAAACTTGGACTGTGACGAAACGAAAATGCTGAAAAGTTTTGGATATCACAAGTTTGAAGTTACTGTATAATTATAAATAAGGCTGGATTTTCACTTACAGAGAAATAGTTCGCTTGCGAAATATTTGCATATTTTCTTTAGAATGTCAACAGCATAAATAAACTATTTCAACATGACTGCTCTCAATTCAAAAGAAAATACGCAAATATTTCGCTTGTGAACTGTTTCTCTGTAAGTGGAAATCCACCCTAACAAGTTAACAAGTTTCAGTTATAGCTGTACAACACAGTTGCGTAACAAGAACGATAATTAGGGGGGGGGATTCATATATCAAGTTTTGTCCTATGGATCTCTTTTGTAATTGCAATAGATTTCAATACCCTTCGAAGAATTAGTATTATCCTCACCGGGATCGAAATCCTCCGTTTGTATCCATTTATCTTTAACATCTTTTGGTTTGACATAAGCTTCGTAAACATCAGATCCTCCAGTTGTTGATGTCGTTGTCGATCTCGCGCTCATTTGCAGAGATTCCATCGTTCGAGTGCAACCTTCAGGCTCCGGCGGAATAAAGTAATACTCATAAACCTTTAACAGAACAAATTTTTTGTCGGTGACAATGCACTAGTTCATATTGAACAATGTTTTCTCTAATATTTTTCTTGGAATAAACAATAGATTTAAGCTGTCAATAGGGGTATGTTCCTACACCTCATTCTTAAAATCGGTTAAAGCGAATCATCTATTTGTAAGAAATCTCACCCATCAGAAAGGATGAGAAAGAATAATAAGTTATACGTTGAGGGTTAAAAGGTCTTAACTTCGAGTGGAAATCACAGCGCGTATGAGCCAGGAATATTTCCTTAAATATCTGTTAAGTACCGTTTGTCTCGCAGGAAACGAAACTGCGCCGTTGACATGTTGGTGTTAAGAAAAGAAATACGAAGAGAATATCTTCTCACCTTTGGCGCAAATACCATAGTCAAGGTAACAGTCGTAGAAAGTATCACCACAGCAGATACCAGTACGTGAAGTAATTCATAATAAGCAGTCTTCTTTAAAACCATTGAGACTGTTGCACCGATGGCTGATAATATGACAACATTGTAAACTGACATTCCGATGTACTTGGAGTCGTTTAGCGCAGGAATCGTTACATTGCGCGTTCCCCACGCGAGGAACACGCCAAACAATAGCAAAATTCCTTTGTATCCGTACATGGCGCCAAGCAATTTTGTTCTATGAGTGCACTCACAGATTTTCAAAACAGGAATTGTAATCACATCGATGGAATCTTCCTTCTATAACGATGAAAATAATTCTGACGTCAAAATTTCTCCATCCAAACGGGGATGCATGCTGGCCTCTTTCGGTAGTAAAAGTACTCAGTAACAGAATCATAGAATACCACAATGCTTGCATATAATACTCACAGTCTTACCATTTTATCAAAAATGATCTCCTTCGCTTCTAAGGGATCATAGTAGACCCAGATGGTTATGAAAATGACATCAACTATCACCAAGACCAAGACAAATAAAAGAAGGTGAAAATCGCGCATCATCTAGATGTATTTCAGAAAAAAAACATTACACACAATGCTGTATTTGCTGCCGAAGACATACTGGTATATGACGGCATGCAAAGTTTCTCATGAAGACCGGGGGGGAGGTGTATATTCATATATTCATGTTTATATACCATAGGAACAATAGCATACAAAAGAAATCATTCGGGCATAAGACGAATATATAAATATGCACCCCCCTCCCCCAATTAAGCTTCTAGCTACGGCCCTGCATGAAATTGTACCAGACACTTGTTGAAAAGATGGATTGCATGGCCAAAAAACGCTCTGTGAGTTAAGGAGGTGAGTTAATATTACTTGTGGAATTTGTTATGAAGATTTAGGAAGTCAATAACAGACTCCTTGGAATAGTGCAGTAAGTACCGCGTTGGAAACGAGGCTAAAAAGACAAAACACTTAAACCATCCCTGAACCACGAGAACGTCCTCACGCAAAATAAGTAAATCCTTTCAGTGTCTCCAAGTTACGTTTTGTCTCGGAGTTCAAATGCCATTGGTGTAAAACAGTGACGATTTAATTCAGTTATGAGAATTGAATTCTTTTATTTTTATAGTTGACCAATATCTCAGAAATGCATTTTTTACACCGTCAATGAACACGGGAATCGTCAAGCTGACCACAGCATGTGCACAGTTAAAAAGCCGCATTGCAAATTACAATGATACATACATCCTTACCAATACAAATCAATTTTTAATTCGTTGTCGATTAATTAATAGCACGTAAGAGGTTAGATATTAGATGCCTTACATCAACCTTGTTTTCCTACCTTCTTCTTGATAGCTCGTTGAGCAGTGAATATCTTGTGTACTCGCCATGTTTTACTGAATAATGCGCCAAAAGACATGGAAAATGCAATAGCCAGTACATACAGACGAACCTAAGAACACGAGTGAAAAAAGCTTGTTCACATTGGTTATTTAAAATAAGAATCAAATTCCTTTACTTTTCATTCTTCCATTCTCGCTTAGAGTGGATTGCACTTCCAGAAAAAGAGTTCGCTAGCGAAATATTTGCATATTTTCTTTTAATTTGAATTTTGACAGCATAAATAAATTAGTTCAGCTTGACTGTCCTCATTTCAAAAGAAATTATGCGAGTATTTCGCTAGCGAACTCTTTCTCTGCAAGCGGAAATCTTTTTGAGATCGATAAGAAACTCGAGTCTTCTTCTCACTGACCGGTCGACGTTCATTCTTAAGCCTGGACTTACATTGCATAATATTCCCAAGACATGGTCATCCACAAATCTCGAATCAATCCCCAACAAGAAAACGAAAACATAAAAAAAGAAGCAGCCAAGAAGAACGACATTGTTGATCATCGGAGATGACATTCGAACCACTCTACAAGGAGGAAAAGCGAAAACCTCTTTCCCACATATAGCTATTTTAAATACAAACATTAAAAGGCCAAAGAATAAGCCGGACTGAAAAAAATCTTGTTGTGACTACTGTGTTTACTTACTTGTGATTTCTCTTGCTGATGTTGAAGTAGACGAAAAAAATCGAATAAAACAAGCCCAAAGCAGCAAAACCCCAGATGATCGCTACCAGCAATTTGGAGTAGGTTAAAACTTTTTTTTTCGTTCTCGTCTCGTCGACCGGAACCTTCCCATCTGAAAAAAAATTAAGTTGCAGTCTGACAGGCGCAGGAAGTGAAGTTGAAATGATTGTTCGGAAAGAGAGAGGCTATACTGGGGAAAACACTAAATCTAAATGTGTTCAGTCAAGAGAGGTAACGAGAAGCTATACAACAGTTTATTGCAATTTTTTATGAAAATAAAAAAGTATAAATCAACTTCATGTATGTACACCATGTTTCAGAATATTTACGACTATAAAAACACAAGTTTTCGCTTTCACCAAAAAAGGCCCAATTAGTCAAAATGCGTTTAATTAAACATGAATTCCAAGATAGCGAATCTATCGATATTGGTGACGACGTTGTGGATTAAACAGGCTTAATTTACTGCTGTCAAAATATCAGGACATTGCTGACTTTTTGTTTTAAATGGCAAAATATACGCACTCACCTTTCCATAATTTATCAACCTGGCTTTCAAAAAGTTCCATTTTAAATTCCTCCCTGCTGATGGAACTGAACGATCCCACTTGAACAAGCTCCGCTGTGAAAAAACAGACGATAAACTGCATAAATCACCGTATAATAATTTATAATGGTAATTGCACTGAATATAATAAATATATG